ACCAGAACATGTCAAAAACAGATCAAAATACTCTTGGTCGACATTAGGAAAAGGAAACAATGCTTCAACAATCTTATATCAAAGGTCAATGGAATATGGATAAGGCAGAGATAGTACTTTGTTGAATTTATTGAGATCGAAAAGGATAAAATAAATTCTGAAATCCACTGGAGACAATATACTCTCTGAAAATACATTAGAAGAAATATTGCTAAAAACAAATAATATGAAGCTACTTGCCCTATGTTTGAAATAGGGCAACTACTTCATTTCAGGAAAAAGAAAAAAAAGAAAAAAGAAAGCGTGTATTGATTGAAAAAAAAAAATAAAAAAATAAATACAGTAAAATTTAGCAAAATAATGGAGATTTGCTGAAATTTTTAGCAAAATTTCTGAAATTGTTCAGTTTTTGTCCAACATTTAATATCAAGTTTTCTCTCAAGAAATTGGAAACTGGATTTGTTCATCCAGTAAAGTTTCAATGAAAAATTGACTTCCGAGTTTGTCATAAAGTTTCAATATTTTTAGCCTAACACTTAATTTCCTTTTTAAATATTAAACATTTCATGCTAAACAAAGATTTAATCAGGAGCCACTTGTTACTGCAATTTCCAAATATAGGTTCTCAAAAATCATTGAAACAGTTATGAATTAAAAAAATAATCCAATTCAAGAGAGATGCTTCAAAAAGAAATCTTACCTCTTTTGATGGCACATAAACATAAGGAATCTGATTATCCTCACATAACACAGGCATGTGACTAAAAACATCAATGGGGCTTGTATCACCTGCCAGAATAACCAGTCTAAAAAGAAACAAATTAAGGAACATAAAAATAATTCAAAGATTTTTTCTGCATAACTTCTATTAATTTCAAATCAAGCACAATTGATTATATATGATTAAACTCTGCCAAGATGGACAGTGTATAATAATTTTCTTTTTTTTTTTGTAGAGGGGGTGCACTTACAGAGTAATAAGATTGACAAGAACATTTTGTGAAAATCTCTTGAAATCAAAGGGTAACAGGATAAATACTTGCCTTTCTCAAAAATAATTACCATGAATGTTAAGATCAGTTAAAGTGTTGGTGTCTTTGTGATTTCTCTCCAGTACCAACAAAAATTACATTTCACAAATATCAAAACTCAAAGACACTATTTTCCTTAAAACATATACCAAAACTGAAACTAGGAGAGAGAGAAAAAAAAAAAAAGTTGCCAGGAAAGAGTTTCTTAATAAAATCACTTTACAAGTGATTGATTGTACAGATCAAATGATAGGTACTACCATGTATCAATGAAAACACCTAAGACTTGTGAACTTAATTTTATTGTAATAATCTTTGTATCAGGATTTAAGTGCTTGGAGAAAATTCTAATATAAAAATTGTGTCCAATGAATAGAGCTAAAGATTTTTGGCTTTTAAGAGTTTTTCATATTTTAAACTAGTTTATCTATAGAAATCATAGTAAAATTTTTGGAAGCAGAAGACAGATTTTTTTTTAAAAAAGAATTCTACTCAAAATTAGCTGATTATTGGAGTTCAATAAGATTTTCATAGTCAAAGGCAACTATATTGCCTTTATAGGAAATTTCAATATCTTGGAGACCCCCCCCCCCAAAAAAAACAAAAAAACTTACCCCTTTTCGCCTCTTCTAATAAATTTCTGAACCTCACGAACACCTTTCCTTAAGGAACCTTTATTTTTTGCAGCTTAAAAGAAAAAAAAATTACATTTAAATAAATGGTATGAGTTACTAAATTTTGAAATTTCTTTATAAAGAAAAACTGAACTATTTGCAAGCAAAACTACAAGAAAGATTCCCTTTACTGGCAGTTGCCCTAATTATTTTCAGTTTAAAAAAAAAAAAAAAAAAAGGCTGAAGATTTTTTTTTTCCAAATATACAATATAGAGGATGTCACAATTATCACTTTATCCTTCTGAAGGAAAGCAAAGCATAATTTTATAGATTTGCTTTTTGTTTATTAAATCAGAAAACACAATCATGGACTCATCTAGTAGGTTGGAAAGTCCCACTGATACCAGTTGTAAGAGGTTCAGGCCAAAGGTAAAAGTCAGCATTTTGAATGCTACTTTTTAATGACTTCCCTAATGGAGGATTACTGCAACATAATTTGCTCCAATTTGATCTTGTGCTATACTAAACCTAGTAAATACTAGGGATATTCATTTGAATGGTACCTACAACAACAGCAGTTAGTAAATATCTTATAGATAGATCAATATCCTAGAGTGGGAAGTTTGCAATAGAAAAAAAACTTAGTATAGAACTTACATCTAGCCATTTCAACTGATGAGACATTTCTACTAATCTAGCACTGGGCTTAAATTCATAAAATCCAGGTATCATAGGGGAAAATCCATTGGAACAATTACCATGAAAATATTTATTGAAAAGGCACAGGGAAGCTATGTTATGGCAGTGGGAAAGTGCATTGAGATGCTAGGTCAGGACTTACAACATTGCAGATTTTTTTAGATTTTATCAAAAATCTATAAATACATAGCAGGAGCACTTAACCAGATGTGGCAGCAATATTCAAATCAGAAATGAATGGTAGACTTAGAAATATATGAGATAGATTCTGGTGAGAAAAACTGTTTACCATGACACAATGAACGGACATCCCCAGCTGAAGATCTAGCAATTGATTCAAGAGAATCTTTTCACTTCACATCAGTGGAAAACGTTAGTCTGAGAAGGCACAATGAGTCACTCTTCTGGAGATACTGATGGAAGGTAAAAAGGGTTTTCTTAAATGATTAAAATGGAGCAGTTTCATTTTTTTGAGGCATTAAAGCCACTGTTGTTCCATTTGACAACAGATAGTAGTAGGTCTTTTTTTTTTTTTTTTTAGATCAGCTGCCAATTTGACAAATATTGAAATGAGTAGGCTTACTATTAAAACAGGAGTAAATAGTTGTTAAACATTTGCATAATGAATTTTATGTAGGCAATGATTTTTTAAAGTTAACAGAAATGTATTAAAGTCAATAAAATACTCTATTTAAAGAGAATAGCTAAGAATTGATAAAATGAAATACTTTTAAGCAAAAAGTTGTTTTTATTAAAAATTTTTCTTCTCTCCCATAAAGTGTCAAGATTTAAATAATTACAAATGTGACGGGTCTTAGATATTTCTATTTTTGAAGTTAAACCTAAAAATTCTATTATTGACTTACACCAAGATTTTTAAAATAATTTTTTATTTTTTTATGCTTATAAAATATTATGTAATGTGCCCATTTTTTAAAGTATGGTCACAATATTTTCAGAAAAGGAGAGCAATAACTATTGCAAATTTAAAGCCAACATTCCTAAAATTAGATTAGAGAATATTTTCCAACATTTTTAAGATTGAGTAATTAAAAATTATATAAAAAAGCAGTCATGCCATTTTCTTAAATTATGTTTTTACAGACAAAGTCTCCAGAGAACAACAATCATTACACCACCACCTATCAATTACGTAAAACATGGTGGTGTTGGTTAATAATTTCTTTGAAATCAGAGTATTTTGTTTACTGGAAATGGTAACCCTTTAGCTTTCAATTAAAGCTAAAATGAAAGCTTTTTAGTTTTTAAAATTCATTTTAACCTTAGGTATCGAAAATTAGTGGAGGTACCCAATTTAAATATACCAAACATCAGGCTGTCGATAACACCTCATCAAAACACCCACTTCTGTATTAAAAAATGCTTCTCTGCAATATTATAAACTAAAAACTGATTTTAAACTTTAAATCAGCTAATTTTTCTCGACGTTTCAAAAAAGTAATTTTATTTTTGAAAGATTTTTTTTTTTTAATAAAGACAATTATTCGATTACGCTGTAGTGACAGTTTTGTCAATGTGGACGATTTTTTACATTGATTAGAAAAAAAATGATTTCGAAAATAATTTAAATTGGTTTGAAATAACAAATTATTTTATTTATTGGAAATATTAAATAATCTATTAAATAAGAATATTAGCGTTGAATTCAAACTAAAATAAAAGCTTCAAGAAAGACTTTTTTATTTTTTAAAAAAAGGTAGCTAACCCCCCACCCCCCAAAAAGTATTGCTTTTTTTGGCGGTAGCTAAAAGAGTCTTTACTAAATTTATTCTTTCAAAATATGTACAGTTTATATAGGATTGTGTTTAAAAAGAAATTGATGTTCTTTTATAAAATAAATTTACAAAGATAAAAAAATTATGCAACTATTCTTCAAATAATTTTAACTACAATATGGATAAAAAAAGATTTTCGTTGGAAATACGTACTACAAGCTTTTCGAAAAAAAAAATAGACTTATCCGATAAGGTGAAAAAGTAAATTATAGATAACGGATTCAAGGTTTCTCTAGCTATAAATTTACACAAACATTTTACGAATAATTATTTGCATTTAAGTCATTTTTAAATGAACATAATGAGTTTTTGGAATTTTCTTAAATTCTTAGAGACACGTGGTTAGTAAAAGAAAGAAAAAGAACTAAACCTTTTTTTATGACTTTGTTGATTTTCTTGTTTAATTTCCGCGAAGCCAGTGGCTGGGCAATAGGACACAAATATCTGATTTTTTCTTCCCATATGACAGATTTGTCAATATCTTCTTTCTGATTTTCTTTACCCATAATGAACGAATTCTGCGGATTTGTTAAAAATGTAAAAATGTTTTAACCTGCACAGGAAGTTAAAAATTGTTGAATTATTTCTATACTTTTAGCCATATTAACGTATTTATTAAATGCGCATTTTTACTACAATGGTCATTAAAATACTTTTTAATTAATAATTAATGTAATTAATAAATATTATAGGTTGTTAAGAATTTCTGTTTTTGAAAATAAAGTTGGAAACAAAAAAAAGAAAAAAAAAGCCAGTTCCATCCGTATCCAGTTCCTGGATTAATCATCTGAAAGGAAGTCGCGGTCCACGCAATTCGTCTAAAAAAATATTGATCAAACAATCTGAATTATCTTCGATCATGGCTTTAACATTAAACGAATTAGAAGCTCCTATACCTATCCAAAATGGTGATGTTTCCGAGGTAAGAAATTTCATGTTAATTCTGTATTATTTGATAAAAAGGAAATCACGGATTTGGGGGACAAACGAAATTCAATTTAGTCATCATGGCGTTTAGTTGCAACGAAGTAGGTTTTGATTTATGAAGCCTAAAATAAAGTCTTTGTAGTGATGTATTTTTGTTGCTTTTTTTCCCCCCTACTTTTCTGAATTTTTACTTAATTCTGACCCAAAGAAATGAAATTATTTGGTTGCTAAAAGATAAATAGACGTTTCTGGAACAAATTGTATGTAGAAGAAAAGAGTACCCGTATTCGGCCATGATTAAATTTGGCGATCGTTAAGAAAACATTTACATCGCATTACGAATAAATCTGCTGATACACTCTACCATAATAAGCCTTTTTCATAGCAATGATTATTTTCTGAGGCCCATTTATAAAATATATATATATATATATAAGAATATTAATAGAAAGTACAAATATATTATAAAAGCTGAATAAAAATTTAATATTCAAACCGTTCATCTCGCAGTTTTCATGTAAATGTTTTTCTGATGCTTTATTTTAGTACACGAATTACAAGTCCTTTAGTCTTCGATGTCAACATTGGCACAAGGCCAAATTAAATGGAGCACTTACGTGTTTATATTTCTGAAGAATTTGTAAGATTGATAACTGTTAGTGTTAAGGTTTTCTCTCATTTTATGATTCTCAAAAATGGTGCGATTATTATGAGTGGAACAATTGAATAGTCAACTGTGTAAAAAAAATCATTTATTCAACGTAATTGTATTTTGTTTAGTTTAGATTTTATTTTATTTATTGTGTCATGAACAGTTAAAAAAACTGTCTACATTAAACTGAAGAAGACGGGGAAAATAAAAGTTACTTAATTTTTTTTTTTTTTTTTTTTTAACTTTTCATTTTCGATAAAAATCCTAGTTTACTCACGCGGCAGATAGTAATGTGACGATTTTAAAATTGAAGTAGAGGAGGCATCGCCATCGAGTGCAAAATCAAATTTTACTTTGTTGAGAATTGAGATGTTTATTTTGCAATAGACATTGGAAATAAACCCCTATGGCACTTTTCAGCAGTTATCGTACGAATTGAAAAAAAACTAAAAAAAGGATTAAAAATTGATTATAATCATATTCTAAAAAAACTGCTGGCATTGGAATTTTTTTCTTTAAAACCTCTATCCACTTAAAAATATTTCAGGCTAAGTTTCTTATTTTTTTTTCACAAATCACTAATTAGTGGGTGATAAAAGGTTTTCAGCCTGATCAAATGACTAATCAGGATTTTTTCCAACAGTTTGTCATGGTATTTTAACTGGTATTATTTGTCATAAAACAAAAATCGAAGTCAGAATGACGAGTTAAACACGGTGAACATTTTCTTAAAAGGATGAATTTATTTTAATGAGAAAAGGCATTTTCTGATATAGCTTTTCAATACTTTGTTTAAAATCAAAACGTGCTCAGGTACTTGCAACTTGCTTAATGAGTTGGAATAAATTTACATTTTACAACAACCAGAAGAAAGAAATATTTCTAATAAAATTGACTTTACTAAAAATAATGAAATATCTCCATTTTTGTAAGACTAATTCACTTTTTAGATATAGAATTTATTTTGTTAAACATTTTTAAAAGTTGGTTTTTGCATAGTAAACAGTAAAAACTAAAAACACTAATTTCTGTGTAGTTTTGCCATCAATCACATTTCACATTGCATTTTTATTTTAGTTAATTGAAAAGAACCACCTTAAAAGCCAATTTTTAGTATTTATTTCAGTATTGCAAGAATTTTGTCTTAATCCAAAACAATGAATTACCTTTTTAAGATCTTGTGAAAGTAAAAGTTACGAACGAAAGTAATATAAAACAAATAACTTTAAAATAAAAAGCAGCTTGTTAACTAAGGTTTTTTAAAAGTCAGTCCACCACAGTACTGGATTCTGGTCGTGGTATCATACATATATTGAGGACAGGGTAACCGGGTAAATAATGTCAATGTGATTCTTCTTGCCTATTTTGAAGACGCAAGTAAGTGATTACCAGTCAATTCTGGCTCTAGCAGATCACACGGGAAATGTGTAATTGAGGCGTGTGGGTTTATTTTTTTAATAAATTTCCTTGAAGTCACTCTGGATTTTCTTGATTTATTTTATTTTAATGAAATGTTCTAAGATAGTGCGTACAGTTTTCAAGAAGCTAAAAAAAATCTGTTTTGCTGCATTGTAAATATGGCAAGTAATAATCCTTTGTTTTGTTGCCTGGAAATTTAATTTCTAATAGTTAAAAAAAATCAGAAGAATGATTGTTAGCAAAGACACTCTCTGAATAAAACCTCTATGGCCTTGCGTTTTGGTCGAAATTATGGGAATTGAGACTGTAAATTGGATCGATTAACATGATTTTTCTCTTTTTTTTTAAATTAACATTTAATTTCATGGAGTTTGTTTTATGAAGATGTAGTTTCACTTTTGATCGGTGACGTCAAATCGAACCAATTCTATTTTAGGCTGTTTGCGCATGCGCTCTGACAAACCGGAAGTATATAGCCTAACCGTTGTTCTGTATAAGTTAACAACGGTTAACCAAACGCACTTAAAATAAATTGATTATTAAAAAAAATAAAATAAAATAATCGTTTGTTTTTAAAATAGTCATTAATCAAAGCTATATACTCCTATTATAAAGTTATATATATTTTTTGTGAATCGTTTGAATGTAAAGTAGTTATTCATAGATAGGACGAAAATTTCAATTCGTTAATTTTGTTCTAGTTTCTGCTTTCTTGTCATTTTAAAATGGCTCTACTAAAACCTAATACCATCCAATTGTGATGTTCTTGATGTAAATCGTGCACAATATTAATGATATGACTGTATTGTAAAACAGTCCGTCATTCTTATCTCAATAAAATAAATTAAAACAAACGATGTCTTTTTTTTTTTTTTTACTATAACAACGTCCGCCATTTTGAAGCTGCATGTCTTGTGGAGAAAAATGAAATGAAACTCGGAGAATTCCTTTTTAGAATCAGCTTTATCTGATTTTTATTGTTTCTTTTTTACATCGGGATACACGGGGTGATTCTGTTCGCTATACACTAAGTATCAACAAAATGCGTGTGTACTTTCGATAATGATAGCAAAGCAAAAACTAAAATTAAAAAAAATGCTAATTTAAAAAAAAATTGTAAAATATCTGGAAATTATACGATTGAATTTATTGGAGCAGGGGTAAAAACTTGTGTTTATTTATTTATTTCAGTGATTTTTTATTTTTATTTTTTATTTATTCAGTTGCTGTTTGTAACGAGATTTGGAAGAATGAAAAATATTTTTTCCTTTTTAACTGTTTTTTTATGCAAATTAAAAATTTGCATTAAAAAAAAATCAAAGTTAAAAAAATATTTTTTCATTCTTCCAAATCTCGTTACAAATAAGAACTGATTGAATAGAAACTTTTTTAGAATTATTTCCTTTTAAAAGGAAATAGTTCTATCAGTTTTTTAAGCAATTTCTGTAGTTTATTGGGCACAATTATTAGATATTTTTACATCAAATTGGTGAAAAAAATAAATGCAATAAGTAAAAAACTCAATTTCTAATTTGTTTTTTTTTTCTACTACAATAGGAATATAAAAAAATAAAATTATTCATTGTACTAAGTTTCATAAATAAAATTATATTCATAAACCTTACTGATTATATACAGTTATATTTGTAGTTTTTGTCCTCCATACTTAATTCAGTTTTATGCGTTTTTTTAAGTGTAGTGTGACAATAGAAGATTACGGTTTTTGACTTGATGACAACTTGCTGACTACCATGCATTTTCATTTCACTATGGCTTAATCAAAAAGTAAATATTATTTTTTACAAAATACAGTTAATTAATCCTTAAATTTACTAATTTACTCTGAAACAAATATCTATGGCAAATATCAGATTTTTAAGACGAGATTTTAACATTTTCAGTAACTATTTAATATTTATAATGTTTTTGACCAAGAAAGTTTCACTTTCTTTGTTTTTGTTTTTTTTAAATGTGTGAATGTGTTTACAATCGTCTTGTTTTTTATATTATCAGTTTCAAATGCATATATATTGACTTCTTTTCCTTTTGGTTTATGTTGCAAAATGATGGCAGATTGTTTTTTTCTTTTTTTATTACTTGTAATTAAAAATTTATTTTTGCTTTGCAAGATATTACTGTACTTATCATGTACCAGAAATTGGCTGACTTACAAGTCATTGTTTAGTTTTTTTTTTTGTCTTTTTTTTTTTTTTTAATTACAATTTTATAACCTTGTATTTATTTATTTATTTTTTCCCTCAAAATATCTGTCAACAGAGAATCTTGATTCATTAAATTTGTAGAAAATGCATCATTTATGCACACAAAATGTCTAAGATGAAGTTCTAATGAAAATTCTTCCCCTAATTGAAAGGGGGGAAAAATAATCACCAAATCACTTGAGTTTCTACCTACAGAAGCCCACCTCATTTTAATAAATTTACTAATATTTTGCAATTTTTAAAAAATTATTAATTATAAAAAAGAAAGCAAGAAAAAATAGAAGATGACTGACGAATGACTGAGGTTTAAATGTTGTCAAAAAACAATAAAGATATAGTATAAAATAATATAATAAAGATATAATATACAATAAGTATATGGAATAATAATAATAATGTCAGATTGCAGACCCAAATGGATCAGTAACCTGGTTTTTATTAGTTTGGCACTATACTAAATTAAAACCTAATTAACAATAAAAATTTGTCTTATTCTTATTATAGTCATGTAAATAATATGATCATTAAGAATTCATCTTCAAATTTGGAATAAATAATTTGTTTCTACTTTTTTTTTTTTCTTTGTGAATATCTTTTTCTTAAGACGCTTGATTATAATTTGGCAAATAAAACTCAAAAGTTCATGCAAGGCAATATTTTGTATCATAAAGAAATCTACAACTCCAGTTAACAAAAACAAGAAAATTAAATCATCTACTATAAAAAATTTAAAACTCCAAATCTCATGGTTAGCAGCAATACCTCACCTGCAAGATCCAAATTACAGAGAACCAATATTATTTGCAAATTCACATGTCCCTTAAGGAACCGTGTTCCTGATCAAACTAAATTCATAAATAATTATATTGAATATACTTCAACATGTTTAACATGAAGATGCACGTTACATCTCTCCGACCGTAGCATAATTAGGTTTCATTTAAATACATATGGAGACCTACCAAACTCCATCCACAACATACACTTTGATAATACAAATATGCCTCATGCACGTTTTTAAAAAAAAAATAAAAAAAAGGCTAAAACTAATGGAAGCAGTATTAATAAAAAAAGAAAAAGCCACCACAACTATGAACATTGTCACAATGTGTTGACAGTGTTTGGAAAATAAAATATTCCTATAACTAGATTCATACATAAAACAGTCCATACATTCAGCTAAAAGTAAAAATAAAATCATGCTTAATAATGGCTAAAAGTAGAGCTGAAAGTGCTTGGACATACAGAACACTTTATACAAAATCTACATAATTTATGACCAGAAAAGAAAAAAATTATAAGAACACAATAAAAAAACTTAACCACACTACCTTGTCAGTCATTTTTAATGAAACTTGTATAAAAGAGGGATTTCTGTCCAAACACACAATTTTTATATATATATATACACACTTTTAAGGTATGCCATATTTATGGGGTAAGGTGCTCAATATCAGAGATAGAGCGTATATAAATATAAAAGGGAACATAAAAGTCAACACTCAGAAGCGACAGGCTTTTTCATGCTAGATACAATCGTCAGACCGTGAATGTTGGATTTTTTTCCTCGACTATTTTATTTATTTTACTGTGGCCAACAGGAAGAGAAATATATGGTTCAACCCATTGTACATGAAAAACGTAAAAACAAATGTAGGTAAAATATTCTTCAAGCTCTTAAACAAACACTTCCCGGAATCGAGCACTCTACACAAAATATTCAATAAAAACTAAAAATCAACTACAGTTGCACCGACAACATAGCACAAATAATAAAAAAGCACAACAGGAAAACTATGAACAAACCACCTGAACAAATTAAACCCACGTGTAACTGTAGAATAAAGAATGAATGTCCCTTAAATGGTAATTGCTTACAAAACAATGTAATATACCAATCCATGGTAAAATCACCAGATAATGAAGAAAAAAGTATACATAGGAGTAACCTAAGGATCCTGGAAATAAACTATGCAAGCAAAACATCTTTGACAAATAGTAAATACACGAACAGCACAATGCTTTCCAAGTATATCTGGGAAATTAAAAACAAATCACACCAAAAATATCATGGAAAATAAGAAAAAGATCATTGTCCCCTGCTAAAATAACCGTTAGAACTAATAAAAATAAGCATAAATAAGCAAAAACAATTAAAAATAATCAATCCAAATAAATAAATAAATGTCCCACACCCCCGCCAAAATAACAGAATAGACTACAGCAAGCAAAAAAAATAGCTTTAATTATCTTCCCAGACCAAAACAAACTATTAAATAAGTGACCTAAGCAAATTCCCAGCCCCAATTTTTTTACTACGTTAATAAAACATCAAAAACCGAAAAGAATAAATACAAAATGAAAAACAAGTAAAATAAATTAACCCAAACAAACAAATAAATAAACAAACAAGCCACTCCCGCAAAAATAACCACCAGAATAGATTACCCACAATGTACCACTGATATATATATATATATATATATATATATATATATATATATAAAATAGTCGAGGAAAATTCCAACATTTATGGCATGAGGATTGCATCTAGCATGAAACAGCCTCTCAGTATTGACTTGAATGTTCACTTATATATACCCACCCAAGTATAAGATTGGTGTAGATGGAATAAAATTCCAGTAACCAAAAATGCTATTCTTAAAAGAGTGTTCAATACAGAATAGAGCAAATATTATTTATTCAAAAATTATAACATGAATATGTGTTATAATTTTTGAATAAATTCTATATATAGCAATTTCTAAAGAATTAAAGGATTTATTTTTAATCCAACATTTTTTTTTTTTTTATTACTTCAAAACTGCCAACATTTGCTTTATTTATTAAGTTTTATCGAGTATGCAGACTGGTACATGTAATATACACTGTTTAAAAAAAAAAACAAAAAACAAACTGTGTCTACTCAAACAGAGGTATCTAATAAAAGTAATGTTTGAAGTAATATATATTCATTATATTTTATCAGCAAATGTTTCTTCCAAACAAGTCATATTAAAGAGTAGATATTTTTATGTCTATTAAATTTTTCAATTGATTTGCATTTTATAATGAATTTAATAAACATAAAATGTATTCTTTTTAATTAGAATTGCTTGGAAGAATATTTGCTACTAAAATATACTGAAAATTATATATATGCCAATAATTTTGCAATATCCTGCTCAGTTGGCTGGTGATAGTCATGGTATTAATTTTTGCTTAATTAATAAACCAGTTAAAATATCCAAGTGAATTATTTTTTAATTTTTTGTTAACATAAACCATTTAGTCAAGTTTTGTATAAGTAAATCATTTCACATTCTTAAAATAACTTTTTTTTTCTTAAAGGTTGAATTATCATCAGAAGATCGCATAAAAATTCCGAAAATGGAAATGGGTAAGTGTTTATACTGGAGCTTTTTTGTCAATCATTCTGAAGAAGTTCCGTCTTCGGCAAGACATTTTAATTTGGCCTAAATTGTATTCAATACTAATGAGTTCAGCTTAATCACTAGATTTGTTTCTTTTTCAAAGGATGAAAAAAAGCTGTCAATGATTGGTTAAGTATTTGTCTGAAGAGAAGTCCACTTTAGATGTGGATGGTGGTGGTGTCATTGTGTGTTGGGATGGAAAGAAAATAGGCAACTGTAGCAACTGTATCCCACACTTTCTCTCTCCCTCTCTCAATCTTTAGTATAGCCTAGGCTTTGAAATGCAGAAGTAGAGTTAAGAGGAAATATTTTCTTTTAAGCATTTGCTGACCAATTCCTTTATAAATTGATTGGGCCAGATTCATTTATTGGTGATGGGAGAAAATTGCTTCAGCATTTTAATACTTTAATTAGCTTCGAGAACAAAACTTGATAAGTTCATCTCATTCTATAGTCTTAGTAAAAGATATAGGTAAAACCATTTGTGATTGGAAATTATTAAAACAAAATTACAGTTAGGCTATTATAAGTGATTAGACTTTTTATATGTTTAATGAAAGTATAATTTGAAAAAAGAATTTGAAGTACTTAAAAAAAACAACAAAATACCTAATCTGTCTTTAGTGAAATATTTTCCTGATGTTTTATTGTTTAATCCATGGTCAAAACACTATTGTTAGCAGGTAAATTTCTTTGCTTCTTATGTGAGGCCACTGAATTTATTCAAATAGTATAGGGAATCACTTATCTTTATAAATAACTTTTATCTTTTATCATTTCTAATATTTCCATCTTTTTCAGGCCAGTCTGCTTTTAAGAATATTTGTTAGCTGTGTATTTAGAATAATCTCCAGAAAACACATTTGGAATTATAATTTTAAAAACATTAAATTGCCTTTAATACTGCTAAGAATGTGTTCTTGTCTTGATCTGAGTTTTGACATCTAATAGTTCTTTTTTTTTCTTAACACAAAAAAACGAGGATTTACTTCATTTTGTTAGAAAATATTTCCATTTAAATCAAAAGATTTTTCAGATTATTGGCAGAGAATACATTTTTTTTTACAGATTGATGATAAAATCATTTTTTATTATTTATAGCAGACATTTTTTTTGTTTTGGGGAAATCCGCATTCATTTGTATATTTACAAGATTTTTTGTGTAGACATAATTCCTATCATTAGACTAAAATCAAGCTTGAGTGTTCTATTTAAAGAAATCTCTAAATCTTCCAGGCACTTTTGATGAAAAATGAATTGTGACATAAATGGTCAAAACTTGTATAAAAATTAATTTTATCATCACCATATTTGTGACATTAGTAAGAAACATGAGAGAAAATATATGAAACTTATTTACATTCAGTCTATAGAACCAGGTATTTGTTTGAAAAATTATAACTATAAAAAAAACAAACTAGTGTAATAATTTGCATAAGAAAAACACAGATTTTACAAATTTGTTAATTATCAGATTTCAATCAAATTCTTGGTATTTTATTAATTTATTAATTAATATATTTGTTAAAAAAGTAGTTTGTAAGAAAAGTTCATAGAAATAAATTTTTAAGTCAATTTAATGAAATATCAATAAAATATCTTTTGGACATTTAAAAGTATTTTAAATTCTAAATCCTGGAGAGATTAAATTGGTTGAAATGTTATTTGAAACTTTTATTGGAGGTCGAGGAAATATGTCCAGAATTTGAAAATTTAATGTTTTAATATTAATTCATTATTCTTTTGCTTAGTTACTTTTGAAATGTTATTAATTAAAACTGTGTTTTAATAATTGAAAAATGTAAAGATAACAATTAATTGGAGATTTTTTTTGTGCAGAAATTCTGTAATTAGCAGATATGGAAGATCACTAAAAAAATAATAGTTATAACTTTGGCTGTCCTCACTTTTTAGCATGTAAGCTTCTACACATAACAGGTTTTGGCATTTGTTGTCACTCATACTTTAACTGTACCATGAAGGGACACTCATAAATCTGAGATGACTTTCATCAACCATTGTGTAATTGAAGTAATTTTGGATTATAAAAAAGAAGATGCTTTAAGACCTGCCTTATGTATGCAAAAGGTTATTTTAATACGTAACTTTGTGCTGTTTTCTTACAATTAAAAGCAAAATTATAACTTCAAAAATATTTTAATTATTAAAATACATTTTAAATAAAAAAAGCTATCTAAGTACCTAGTTAAACATTTAAAAAATTCTGAAATTATACTTTTCCAAATTTTGCAAAAAATAAAGTGTATAAAAATTGAAATGTTTAAAGTATTTTTAAAGAACAGTCTATTCATTATTTGTTTCCTAAAATTAGTTTAAATTTCTAGTGCTAGAATAAAACCAGCTTAATACTAAAATAGATGTAAGTCCTTAAATAAGAGACTCTTAAGGCATTATTCAGACATATTACATCAGAATTATGAAACTGTTGATGTTCTTATCTAGTGTAGTATCAAAGGTTGTTAATACAAATTTTTCATGTTTCCTTGTAAGCAGAATGTGAATATGGACTGATTATTTAGATTTAGGCTTTAAAAATGCCAGTATAATAAATATTTACAACATGTTTTTTCTCTAGTCTCTATTTTTAGTTAAAAAACAGAAATGTATTGACATGTATCATTTTATACTTGAGATAAATTATTAACAAAGACAAAAAGTGTGCTCAGTTGAATTTATTTATTTATTTACCAATCTGTCTTCATTAACTCATTAAAAGTTAATACATTTCATTTGTATTTAACTCCATTTTGTAAAGCTTGTCTTAATATTAATCTAACAGCTTCAATTTTTTATTTGCTAAATAAAGAGCATTTTTCATCAATTGATATTTAAAAAAGCTATGGAAAGTATATTCTTGATTATTCATTTAGTTGTAAATCTAGGGGCTGCTAATTTGTACCTCTCTTGGCTGGCTAACAAAATGTTTTTAAAACATCATCTATAATGTGGTTGGTTTTATTTTCTCAAACAAAAATATTAATGTAAAGAAAAAAATACTATATTTGTTAGGAATGTCTAACATGAGGAGATTGATAAGTTTTAAAATCGTTCCTTTTTGTATAAACAATTTCTGTTGTGTAATGAAACTTTACAATTGCTTGTGAGGTGTTACATTTGCACATTTCTCATTAGTTGAAATAATAAACAGTGCTGCACTGTATCTGAGTATTTGCAAATGATCTTAATTTTATTTTCACAAAATTATCTAAAAAAATTTTCTAATTTTTATCTAACACAAGAACAACATATTTTGTGATTTGGTTGTAAATTTGTTTTATTCATTGAAATCATTTTAAAATTTGCAATTTCTTATTGGTATAGTTTAATTTATTTTAATACGATTTTGAATGCCTTTGTAACATCGTCTTGAGAAATGTTCAGTCTAGTTTTAATTGAGCAGAATTTGGGCTTTGTTTCCCTTATCCATTTTTATCTTCTTCCCTGTTCAGCCCCACCCCAGAAAAGTGGGATGCAGGTGTTATTTTAGCTTATTTTCTTCTTGATCCTCCCTCCTCCTCCTCAAATTGTTGAAACCAAGCACTTGTTCTTGGCAAGTAAGTAATCATCTAGTGTCGCTGCATTCTTACACCCAGCAGCAAGCACATGACTCTACATATTGCAAGTTCAATAATAAATGCATTAAGAGCAGAAAGCAAAACTGCCATAAGCTTGTTAATAAATGATGCATTTATCATAATCAAATAGTGTTTGGCTTTTGTGATATTTTTCAGGTGATGAGTTGCTGGCATCTGGTTTTTGAGTAGGTCCTCTTCATCTCTTTCCCTTCAAACCAATAAAGTACCAGCTTCTCATATCTATCTCTTTCTTTTTTTCTCTCTGTATTTGCAGCACTGAAAACACAAGGTCTCAAGGAGACCCAAACCTTGTACCTCAGTCTCAGACCCCAGTTGCTGAAGTAAGAGGAATGATTCAGCCGAAGCATCTCGCTTTTGCAGCATTATTTCAAATCTTTACTATCAGGGTGTATTTTTACCTTGACAAAATTTCAATTTAAGTGGATTAGGTTAATGCAAAATCAAGTTTGTTATATCAACTACTTCCCCATTAGAATGGCTAAGGAAAACAATGTTTCAGCATATATATTTTTTTTTGTCTTAGAAATAAGAGTAAGCAGCACTGCAGTCAGGCATTCCTAATCTAGCCATTGATTTTTTTTTCCTGTATAGAAATATCTACTCTGTCTGCTCTGTAAGTCTTAAACAGTCTTAAAACTTTAGGTAATGTTGAATGTAAGTTTTTTTTTTTTGTTTTTTTTAATACTCATTAATATTTTAGTTTTAAATATATGCTTTCAAATCCACCCTCTTGTTAATGAAATTTTTCTATGACTAATAGATTTTAGAAAGTTAAATTACTTTGAAATCCCTAAAAATGTCCCTTTATCTAAAAATGAAAACCATTTATGTGTTACATAATTTTGTGTTTGAGTTACCTTCTGCTCTGCTAGATTACTTGTGGCTGACCAACAGTGAATTCTGTTATCAATTTTTAAACCAATACAACTCTTAGCATTTATAAAAAAAAAAAAATAATCAAAAATTTACATATCAGTTATTTTAGCATTTATTGTTTTGGGTTGATTTAACAAACTTGATGCTGTCACTTGAGATCATACTACAATGGTTATTGCAAAGACCAGCTAAGTTTGCATGTCAACTCCAAATCTCAGTTTGTCTTGTATGTTTTTGCTGCAGATGATTTTTATAAGGAATATCAACTCTACACAGCTGAAATTTCTAAGGAAAAAAAAAAGGGGATTTATTTTAGATGATTCTTTCATTTTGTGTTATTTCCTCTTATCAGTGCTAGATCTTGGTGTCTTTTCTTGGTCCAATTTGCTTCTGTTGTGGTATTCCAAATTCATTTCTTTAAATGTTTTCAACCCACTAAAATAGAGAAATAAAATTCCTCTATGAGAAGAGGT